GGATCCAGGCAGCAGGGCTCTGCTGAGTGCCCGCAACTGTTCGAGGTCCACGCCAGCGGGTCCGAAACGCGCCAGCCGCTTTACTAACGCCTCGACCTGCCCGAGACTGCGCTCCAGGCCGGGGCTCAGCCTCGAGCCCAGAGCCCCGGCGGTCTTGGCGTCGTCGGCCGGGGCGCCGAAGGCCGGTCGGCCGGGGAACAGGGAAAGCGGAGGAAGAGCCGCGAGGGGCGTGTCTCTGGGCGTCGGCGAGAGGCCGACGATGGCGTGATTGGCTGGGAAAAGAGGGAACGGAGCCATTTTAAGACCGTTTCCAGGCGGCCACGCCTCCTTTTTGGGCGTCGTGAAGACTGACTGAGAGACATCGACGGGACCAAAGTAGAGTCGATCCTCGCAAAGGGTCGGACACGCCAAGGCCTCGCCGCCACAGTCCGTTCGGACAGTTCGTGTCTGCTCGAGACAACAAGTGTCCATCTTGTCGCTTCCGGCTCCGTTCGCCTCAGCTGAAGACAAATACTCTCCAGGACTGTCGTCCTCGTAGCCGAGACGACCGCGTAGGACAAGGTTTCTGCCCGGCGTGGATAGAGCTGGGCTTCTGAGAAGGCCGGAAGAGAATGAGGAGGAAGAAGACGAAGAAGACGACGACGAGGAGGAAGAGAAGGAGGAGGAGGAGCAGGAGGATGAGGATGAGGAGCAGGAAGAGGAGGAAGAAGAGGAGGATGAGGAGGAGGAGGAGAAGGAGGAGGAAGAGGAAGTCAAGGTGGTGGCAAGGGACCCGTTGAGCGTCGACTGTATCGGGGGTCCATTGTAGGTTGATGTGTGTGATTGGTGGCCGAGGCGAGGCGGGAATCCGGCCGGGGCTCGAACAAATGCTTCGGGCGGAAACAGCATTGCGGCAGCCTGATTGGGCGGTTGCAAGTGCGATGATGGTTGGGCGAGATGTCGCTGTTGTTGAGGCTGGTGATGGTGTTGCGGGTAAGTGTGAGGCAGGTGGTGGTGGGCCTGTGGCGGAGATGGGCCGGTATGGCTGTGAGGGTGGGCGTGTTGGTGGCTGAGTTGCCCGGCCGTCGACTGGCCGGAGATGGTGTTGGCCGAACCAACAACTGGGCCGGATGGTGGTAGATTAGGAGTCTGAGTTTGAGCTCGCGGCATGGCAACGGCGGCGTACTTGGCGCGTCCGTCGATGCGGGCAAAAACATTGCTGCCGGTGAGACTGCCATTTCGTAGGCCGGTACAAGCGCCGCCGTTGCTGGGCCCCGTGAGGCCGGAGACGAGGCCGTGCAGGCTGGCGACACGAGCCAACCGGCCCACTCGACAGCCGTGACCATGACCGTGACCGTGACCGTGACCGGTCGCTAAGGCGCCCGAAGACCCGGCCGGCCGAGGCGTCTTTGGCGGTAGGTCCACCTTGACTGGAGGGTCGATGAGAGGGTCGGCCACGGGTACGTCGCCCTCGTGCTTCTCGCCGCCATGGAAGTGGCCACTGCAGACTCGAAGCTGATGCCAAGTTGCAAAGACAGAAATGAGATGGTTGCCATCAGGTATATGAAGAAAAGTCGGGTTTCACAAGACTAGACAATGAGTTTGCATGATTCGACTTCTCACCACAAAGAAATAGTTGATTGGAGGCAATTCAGAAATTGGCATTGTCGGAAACCGAGAGAATGAGGACTATAGTAGCATAGATACAATTCACAATACACCATACCTGAACCTATTTTCTTTTCGTGAATCTACCTCACTCATCCGCAAGCAAGTTGGGTTAGCATGAAGCCACCAACAAATCATAGGTTGCCTAAGTAGGCTAGCAAAATTAGGTACAACAAATGAGTAGGTTTGCAGTTTCTCTTCGTTTCCTATTCTCTTGCTCTAGCATATTGGCACAGTATTTCGTAAAGTATGGTTTTTTGCTATGACAATGTTTATCATATCTTGGAGTTATGTTGACTCTATTTCGTTTAATCTATTTCGTCAAAGGTAATTAAATTTTGCAATAATGATACGAGTTGAGCTGACGATTTCATTGAGTTTCACATAGCATTGCTTTCCCAAAAGTTGCTCTCATGCAGCTTTGACATCGCATTGAGCTTATCGGCAGCCCCAGTGGCAGCAGAACCATGACAATGCAGCGTGCAATCTCGACACGTCAACCACTCCCATGCTAACGCATAGATCTGATTGACTGGTAGCTCGATAACCTACTCTAAACAAAACATAATTAATGCCCATCATGACGGTACGGACGAAAGCCTAGCATGGATCATCAGTGGGCCGAGAACTTCTTTGATGTACTCAACAGTCTTCACTCCATAGCAATCCTACTTCACATTCAGGTTAGACCACAGAAGCAAATTTCTTTCAAAACAAAAAGTTGAGTCACATTGAATGATGAAAAACCTTATGAAAATCGAAAAATTGCGTGCAAGAGGTAAGCGGGATGACAACCGGCCAAATTCCCAGGTTTTTAATTTCAGTCATGTCCATGAAG